AACTTTCGCGAAATAACCATTATGAGTTTCTGAATGATTAAAATTGAAAAAGCGAGTCTGTTTTGAACGAAAAATAAAGTACAGAACCCTAGATTGCACTAAAAATAGGGAATAAAAATATACAAAAATGTAGGCAAGAGAAACCTAAGAGTTACTTTCATTACGAATATAGGCCGATCGCGCGTTCTAGTAAGCAATTACGTATAATGGTGCGACTGTAGTTATAATACAGCTAATATATACTGAATATGTGAGCTGGACTAACGACCAAAAGCCGATGAACATAGGCCGTTCAGGAGAAGCGTTTTAAATGTAAAACAGACAAGGAAGCAAAACGCTTCCTGCGACTGGGTGGTATATCAATGACATAAGAGTGGAGCGTTCCGGATTTTCTGGTTTACCGAAAGAGCCTATGCTCCTGTACCATCGAGAAACCTACAATGTCTCCTTTCAGAGATAAAAGGTAAGTTGTATTACAATGGATGACAGCACATTTTTCAGACAAACCCTTTCACCTTGTACACGCATGTTTGTCATCATATTCATCAACTTCTACTTTTGTGTCTAAGTATGGCTCCGTCGTTTGGGTTGAAAGACCAATTTAAATGACTCAGTGCAATGGTGAAATAAATTGCCGGTTATCATTTTTATCTAGCAGTAGTTGATAAAAAAAAGAGTAAAATTTAGTTTTGAAATGCCAACACAGGAAGTTGTCGTCTTTATGACGTACTTTCTATATAAAAACTGATATTATAGTGGTCAAGTATCGTGACATTCAATAAACTTAAAAAATTGCAAACCTATTTGATTTTATGTTATTTTTGTTAATTTGACTTATTGTTTGCGTGACAATTTTTGCGAATTGTATTTTTCTTCTAAAGTCTACGGACTGAAACAAACAATTCTTCTTATTATTATTTTGGACATCTATTTTAAACTCTCGCCTCTCTCATGGTGTAAAAGATTAATTTTAAATGTCAGAGGCAGTATTCTCCAGCAACGGCACAGACGACTGGGGTCAGGGACTCAGGTTCGAGAACCGGTGAACAATACGTGCTTTTTGCATATGTTCTGGAAGCTACCGCAGAATACTAACCACCTCAAGTTGTTAACGAGGCTGACTGGAACTAACCCGTTTGCAGAAAAAACAATTTATGTAGGGATTATTTCATTGTTCGCTTCACAAAACCCTCGTTATGCGAGAAGGCAACGTCCACAAGAAATATCCTCGACTGCGATCGTCCTAATATCACAATAGCAGGCTTAATCGCAAGAATAGACTCGTCTATGATAATGGATCGGCCCCAATAGGTTTGATGCGGTAGTTTTCGAATTCTGGCTACGGTGAATACTTGCAATAAGGCATTATTATTATAGTTCACCACACTATTACGATTCTCTTTTGATATCTTCCAATCGGGCCTCTTTTCAGAGTATCCATTCATAGCTACTGGTACGTTACGTAACCGTTTCTTATAGATCCAGCATAAAAAATGTTCACTAGTCAAGCACACAAATTCAGTTCAAAATTAAACAATAAATTCGTACTAACTAATTCATATTTGTTCCTACACTAAATACTTTTATTTACTTATGGTGTTACAAAAATGTGTGGTTTCTTTTATAATTTATATTCTTGCGTATATTTTGTACAATTTTGTTAGGTCTAAATCTGTGGCAGATTATTTAAACCTTGTGCTCGCGCTGATGCGGCTCGTCCTATACTAGTTGTTTCAACAAAATTAGATAACAACCAATATTTAAAGAGGCCGCATCATATTACAGATGCGGAAAACAACACGTGTTAACAAATTGTTCATTTTCTTCATCTGTGAGACTACAACAGTCTACGGTGAAAACCATATAGAAAGATTTAGTGAACAAACCGTCCTTTCTACGTTAACTGCCGAAATAACATTTTTCGATAGAACATGAATATCGACATGATCACTCAAGATGTGAAATGCTAACAACACTAGCTAATCAGGACAGGGTTGTAATATCACCTAAAACTCTTTCCCAATTTTTATAACACCGTGTATTATAAATCAAATTACTAATTGTATACCATATGCACAATTATAAAATAATTAGCACGCTATATAAATATACTGGTCTTTCTGAGATCCTTTCACCTGCGCCACAATATGTCAATCTGGCTCCAATACTGTAACTTTTACATTAAACATGTTATCATCTGTTCTTCTACCAAGAGGTCAATGACCGGCAAAGATATGGTACACAATCACACAATAAGTTATGTCGTCACTGTTTCAAACTGCCATTTTGAATTCTATACCAAAGAGTACCTTATAATTAACGAGTATAGAGTCATCAGCACACAAGACACCTACTGGCTAACGCGGGAAGTATTTTTTTGCAATAAATACATATATCTTCAAATTCATGCTTTCTACTGGCTTTCTGGGTTCATGTTTTTAGTTAAACATGTTTTGAAGTTAAGAGACTGCCTTTATGAAATATATTTCGGGTTCTGGAAATTCATCTAAAAATTTATGGGGATAAAAAAGAGATGTCCATCTGTTGATTAACGCCGTCCATCTTCCTGGACATACAAAGCAAAATATACGTAGCGATTAGATCGTGTCCTATACCAAAGAATTAAGGTTCAATTTCGAATACATGTCGTCAATCATATGTAATGTAGGCTAGAAATATGTACTTTTAGTGTTATTCTGATTTCTATAGCATAACCTCTTCACTGTGTACTTTCTATTATTCGGGTGTTTCAAAAGAGACATAACAATTTTTGTATTGCAGTACAACTAAGGATAATTGAGGCATCGAGGTGAATTTTATTCCAGGTGCTGCAAACGTGCTGGCAGTGGTCATGTGAACGAGGTTGATTTCCATTCTTAAATGTAACATGTGTACTGCACCCTGGAGCTCAGCTCGATATCTTAATTATTGTGTTTTGTTTAAATACAATATTGTTTAACTGCCTCCGTGGCCGAACGGTTACCATGCCGGATTGCCACGCAGAGGTCCCAGGTTCGATTCCCGGGCCGAGAGAAATAGTTGTATGGCCTACAATTATTTCTCTCGTGAGTTTGGGTGTAATTTATGGTTGTCTGTGTGTGTGTCCATGGCACCCGCAACACAGGGTTTCCCTAGTGCGGGGCTATGTTGAGTGTGTTCGTTATTTTAAAAAAAAAAAAAAAAAATTTTGTTATCGGAAAACCCTGTATATAAAAATATTATGCAGCTTCTAAACAACTCTATATCACAGAGCAAAAGAAACACTTCAGAAGAAGACCATTCCACATCTTGCAGGTTCAAGGAAGGCACAAACGTATGTTTGTGATTAGTATACCAAGCAACAAGGGTATGCAGATGGACTATTTGGGACATGTGATGGCAATTCGAATGTCTCTCCGTAAACTAAGGGACTTCGAATCATCTGTGAGAACACGAACAACCAGAAGTTAGATGGAGTCAAGTGGATCAAGCCAGTATTTGAGAGCTCTTCTATTGGATCTACTCTATATGGGGTCGTACTTGCGTTATATAATGTATACAATCACTTTATCACAAAGTTCATTGGTCCACATTCTTTGCCGGTCAGTGCACATGAATATTTTGCCTCTATAAACTGCGAACCTATCCTTGTACAAACCGATACACTTAATTTACGTATTATTTTATTGTATATTATGTATTTATTATGTTGTATATTGTATACTGCAACAAACTATGGTCCAATTTTGTTACAAAACAACAAAATTTTCACATTACGTCTATAAGTTAACAATAGTAATTTGCAATGTCGGAATTCGAAATTGTAAAATGTCCTTGAGGTCAGTGTTCAGTAAAATGGTTTTCAAACAAAACGGCTGAACATTTGATATAGTGTAGACTTTGCTGTCGCTTTCTCAATAATAAAGAGAGGGAATTCGAAAAGTAATTTTTATATATCATTTTTCATATACATTACAATTTTGTCATTCAGTACCAGCCAAAAGGCAAATATGGTCAGTCCTTCCCTTTTTTTTATCTATTTTGTCAGTCTCTCAAAAATTAGTTTCCAATTTTCGTTCCTTTACTATTGAGAATGTGTTATGTCCACTGACAGTAATTAAAGTTGAAATTATTTATAATTATGTATATCAAATCACGTTGATTTCTACATAAATCTTTTGATCGAATGACACTTTTCCGAACATTGAATAAAGGTTCCCTTTTTTGCAATTTTGAAATTCGAAATTCTAAATTACAATCGTCGGTAACTAGCACTATTCTATACAGCTATTACTTAATTGGCAGATATGTTATTTGTTTTTGATACATTATTTACCTGTTTCACATAGTTTTATTTATAAAAAAAGATTAAACATTGTATCTGCAGAATTATAACTACAATTTCGATCTTAAATAAAAATTAAAAGCTTTTTTGTACCGAAAACACAAATTTCTTTCTTTTTGCATTTAATAAACGTCATGAACAGTCTGTGTTAATTTGTCAAAAATTCAAACAAAGATTTTCACGCTAAAAAAGGAGTGTCGATTCTGTAGCACACATTCCTAAAAATAAACTAATTTAAAAGCAACAACATAATTGTCGGTACAACTTAACCAATTTACGTTTAGAAATGCAGCACATTGACAGAATTACAAAAGATAATAATAATCTACATCTATTTGCACACAGGTCTCTCTCTTATCCACGGTATTCTTGTAAACACGTACTATCAAATATTTTTTTCCATATACCTACAAACCTATTGTGTTAGTTACAAAAACTGAGTACTATAAAGGTCAACAACAACACTCAGAAAACTATTATTACATGTAGCTCTGTACACGTTCTTTTTATATCTACTCTTGCGATGTTACGTCGCAAACCAAATGTCCATCATCACCAGATTGACCACAATGTCACAAAGTACACCGACCCTCATTTACTTGAAACGTAAAAGTAACACCTCAGATTCTGGTCAATAACACTTGCATTGCCATCAAAGCATTATTACCGCGTGTCAAGTCGACCATTTATCGAATTCAGTAACCCTAATCAATTCCATCTTTGCTACATGCGCCGTTCTGTTTAAAGATTTATTTTTCATAATACGTTCAAAATGGAACCTTAAAATAAATCAGTAAAGTTGTCAACCATCTCTGTATAGACACTAGTCAACTCGCGTAAGAATGCAGTAGGTAAATTTATATCACTGTTATTAAAGCCCTTTTATTGGTTAGTTTCTTCTCCATTTCGCGTGATATTAAGGCCATAGGATTGGTCGGTTTAAATTTCGAACTGCATTCTTAAGACGAATGAACGGGACTGTAGCACGTAATACGAGATAGAACTGCTTAGCTTATGAAATTCAACGTGTTGTTATTGGCGCGTTCACCATATTCCATTGAGTTTATATCTCATATACTGGCATAATACAAAACTAATTGTTACTGGCATCAAAACAGTTCAACTAGCAGTTCTAGACTACTAGTAAAGTTTAGTAAAGGACTTACGTGGTATAATATCTCCGACGTTGTATGTCCGGTGTTATAAAATCTCTGAAGGCCAGAAAGGCATTTGTGTGAATGAGGGTTGGGGGGGCTGTGGGGGCGGGGGCTCGGGGTCTTCGATGACGGGGCAATCGCAGTCATCGAGGCGCTGAACGACGAAATTGCCATAGTCGTCGGTCAAAGAGCTGTGCCTTAGCGAACTGCATATGTGACGTCGACCGCCGTCGCACCACGAGGGCTCTGGAATAAAGAAATTTTTGATATTCATACATATTGAGACTAGACACGTGCTAGTATAGTCTAAAGCATGTGCTAATTTTGTAATAAATTGGGATATTACGATATGATGTACTATCACGATCATATAAAATCCTAAAATTTAAAACGAATTATTTAATAAAATATCTAACTTTGTCATCAATTCACATTTATTTCAATATTTGCAAATTGTCCAGCGGTTTAACGACACGCCGTGCTGCCCGCTGCCCCATCAGGCTCCATCGGGCGCTTGGCGAGGTATTTCAACGTGAGCCTAGTTTTTAGGAGCTGAGGGGGTCGCTTTCGCGTCCTCCAATCCGCGCGTTGTAAATTAATATGAATAAAACAAAAGCAAGCAGAGAAAATTTGACACAGATCCGTCATCGACAAGCGCCCGATGGCGACTGACGGGGTAGCGGGCGGCGCGTCGTTAAACCGTTGGGCAATTTGCAAATTTTGTGATAAACCTGAATTTCATAACTATAGGCTTCAGTTGATAACCAAAATTTTGTAGTACTTAAAGATAAATATTTCCATCCAAAAATTGCGTTTTTTTAAAATTTATTTTTTAAAGATTACACTTTTCTTTTAGCCTCTATTATGATTGGATAAAATACATCCTATCATGTAACAAATTAGCATATTCTTGGAAAATATTCTTAGGTATATCATATATTTATACTGAAATACAAATGCTGTTAGGTGTTCCTGTCAATAATAAATAAGTAAATTAAATTTTTCTCCACACTATTAGTTAAGCACATACGTCAAACTATAAAATATAAGTATCGCGTAGAAATGCGCCTGAAGAAGTGCTATCTCATTCACGCGACTGCGCTCGCGTTACATTCGATAGAGGCAGCAACAATTATCAAATGACATACTAGTCACAGAATTAGTCTTCGTAAATTGCCTAATAAACAATTTTGTCAAAAATTAATTATCTCACAACACTGTAGATGAAATGCTGAATCGAAATAATATTTCTTTGCGTCATAATTGTAATTTACATCTATTAGGACTGCTGAATCTACATACTTTTGAAAACGCAAGACGAATTAACGCATGTTACGACGCGTCGACCTCAGCACTAAAAGGTTTGCGACGTAGACACTGGATGTGGAGGTCCCGGGTACGATTCCCGGTAGGACCAATTTGGGAAATTTAGTTTTCTAAACTGGTTCTGGTTTGAGTGTTCAAGAGCCCCAGCGAGAATTCTATTGTTCAGGCACTCATAGTACAAGGAAATCCCGAGTTTGAGACTAGGCAATTGGTGCGGTTGTCGGTAAATTGTTTTTCTTCAATACTATTATACTTTAAATTATTGTACAATAACAGATATACGGTTGTGAGTATGACTAATGGTTCATTGTCCTTTCCATTGGCGCTATAATACAACAGTAAATTATTACTCCTAAGTTGTTACTTAGGTATATGAGATATAAATTAAGTACTATGCGTAATTTTCATGAAGAATTTTCATAAATTTGTTATCTCATTTATATGTAATAGGATGTTGAACGTAGCAACAAAATTGTATGTTGTTGATTAGATATAGATTTTATCAATTTACATAAGTATAATTTATTTCAAATTATCATAATATGTTATTTAGGACATTTGGCCTTTACTTTGCCAAATCAACGCTGGAGACATGGCTTGCTTGAAATATTTTATAAACCCCCAGTAAGTTAATGCTACCCTCTTAATAGTGACTAGAAATAGAAACATGAATACTAATTACTACTAACTTGAAAATTAAATACTAATTTGAAATAAGCACATGATTTTGAGTCTGAATACTAGAATACTTCTGCTTACCTCTGGTAATGTCAGCGTCCGCCATGAGTTCCTCGTTCATGAGAGCGGTGAGCGCGTCGTCCTTCGAGTCTGGAAGCAGAGGAGAAGCCAATAGAGAATGCGGAGTGGTAGAGCGCGTGGAGGGGGAGAGTCCGCGAGGAGGAGAGTGACGTACCGCTCTCCTCCTTGACCTCGTCCTTGACGGCGCTGAGCAGCGTGGGCGAGGTGGGCGTGGTGGGCGTGGCGGGCGGCGTGGGCGCGGCGTCAGCGCCCGGCACGCCCGCCGCTTCGCCGCTACTGTTGGAGCTGCACTCTGGGCTGTACGGCGCCATCTGAGGAACACCACACATTCAACACGCGCTAACGATGTTTGCAAATCAACGCGCTATTGAGCTGTAAAGGGAGAACGTAATTCGAATTCACAGCTGTGATAGAGCGAAAATTATTTTACAAAAATAGCCAAAGACAATTTACCATATATTATCACTCTAATAATAATAATCTTTAATACTTTTAATGTAGCACTAACAGTGCCACAATTAAATGAAAAAAATTCTTTCATTGTGGTGGAGTCGTAAAATTTTCAAGGCTCACCCTAAGACTGCGGCGTCGCCGTGGCGTAACCTCGGCCATTTTGTAGCTGCTGTCCATGGCCCAGTAGGAGCCTTTACCGGGGTCGTCCTTGCTGCGTGCCACCTTCATGAAGCATTTGTTCAGAGACAGGTTATGCCTTATTGAGTTCTGAAAAGAGTTATTTAAAGGTTCATAATCAATTGCGCAATTATTATATTGACTTTAAGATCACTTTTTGCACTAGCCTAACAGTTAAAAGCTTCATTATAAAATAAAAAGGCAGTAATAATCTCAAATTTTGTGAATTAATTTGGTTATTGAAGTAGCCAGTTAATTAATTTTATTAAGTTTTTTACTATAACTAAATAAAGCAATTTACAGCATTAATTTTATGAACAAGTTCATCTATTAAAGACTCCATATTATAATACTGATCGAACAATGTACATGTAGAAGTTTGAAATGCCATCCAACTGTCCATGTGACCAAACACTAAAGCATTTCCTTTTCTTTCAATGTCATTACATCATCTCGCAGGAATAAACATTACATAAAACTGACTAGGAATGATAACATTCTTTTAAAGAATTGACACCCATTGTGTAAGAGAATTTTTGTTATCAGACTAAAATAATAAGTGTTTATTGAACCAGTTCTCACCATCCATCCCTTTCCAGCCTCTTTGTAATAAGGGAATGTGTTGCAGATGTAGGTATATATCTCGTTTAGAGTCATTTTTCCACTCGGCGAACTGTTGATGGCGAGACGGATCATGCTTGCATAGCTGTAGATGTTTATTCAACTGTTGTATGATATTCACGTAAATAATCTTTCATTATGTATGAATAAGTTTATTCAAGAAATGTAACAAAGGAATAAGACACATTCTTCAAAATATACTACATTACATAGATGAAATTTTATGCAAAATAGTGGGTTGTTCTCAACAAAGCTTAGTTCTCCAAAATTTAACAAATTTGTACCCAATATCAGATCATATTTGCTGAATATACAATGGAAGCAACCCTATTTGAAGTTGGTTACTTCATACTCAAACTTTTACTTATTTAAAATATATTTATATAGGAAACAACAGCACTTGTGTTTCATCTTAATTACTTTGCAAGTCTGCTTTTTTAATTGCATTTAATATTAATTAAATGTGTTTCTCAGAAAATTAAGAGTTTCATTCGAAATTCTTAATTTTAGCTTGCACAACTGAATAATGCAGTGTTCTCTACAAACAATCTGTGCTATATTTTATATTATATGCGCGACAAATGCGCGCAAATGAAAGTGTTAAAAACACAGTATATTTTTAACATTGACTACATTACTCAGCAAGAGATGACCTACAACATGAGTCATTTGCATCAGGAAGCATCCAGGATGAGAAGGAAAAACGTTTTACCTGTACGCGGGTTTCGCGTGCTTGATCTTGTTGGTGGTCTCTAATTCGCTTTCCTTGTTATTGTTTTCCTGATGGAACGATAAAGGTTGCACATCTTCGTAGAGGAAGCGAGGGATGGGGCCAAGAGGGCTGTGGCGCGGCGGGCCCGGGCTGTACGCGGGCAGCCACTCCACGCCAGGTGATTCACTCATTATCTCATCCAGATCTCCGCACTTCACGTGAATCCACACATTATATATAAAGTTTTTGTACACAAAACATACGCCGCGTCCTTCTCCGCACTATTGTGGGCGTGAAAATCACTTGCTACCTTTTATGAAGACGATCCTCGCAACTCATTGTAGAACATCAAAGATCCTTGAAATGACTATCAAAGGAAACCTCGTGACAAAACTGCTAACTCACTGACTGTGCAAGGAAAATATAATTTTACTTAAACATTTACCGAGGCGCTTGTAGAAGATAGAAAAGAACATAAAAGGCAAAACCAAACTAATTTTCTGAAAAATTAAGAATTATTATGACATTTGACGCACCTACTAAAGGGAAAATGGCGGCGTTGAAAAACGCTTTTATTCGACAGAAAAATCGTTGTCCGCATCCATAGACAGAGATAAAGCTATACAAGAATTTACTATCTTGCTTCTTTGTGCTTTTTGTGTCGTAGACGTCAGCGTTGTTATTTTTACTTACCACTCTGGGTATGTTCGTTAAACAGTAGACCGCATTTAATTATAGCCGCATTCATCGCTTTTTAAAAGGCAACACAGAGAACAGTTGCAACAACTTAAGCAACTCAAAAAAACTGTCAGTTCAAATGAAATATCTGTGGTGGGAAGTTGTGTTTCTCATATTTTTATTTTTAACGGTTTGTTGACAAAAAATTTAAAGCACGGTATTTACTTTGATAGAATTGTGAACAATTTTACTGTGACTGTGTTAAGAAGGTGTAAACCATGGCGACGCAGGCTGAAGTCGGTGTTGCCGACTTTGTTCTCTTGGACAATTTGACGACGGATAAATTCGTCGAGAATTTGCATTTGAGGTAAGTGCTTATGTATTTTACCAATGCTCATCAGATACTTTTACGTCATCGTTGTAATTACAACCGATCGATCATTTGCCGACTTGCAATGTAAGTTACAACTGGCTGCCTTTACCTTTTACTATTTTCAATATTGACTGGTACGTATCAAAAGTTTAAAAAGTTTGTAAGTAGTAAATTATCGATTTTAATGCGAAGTATAGACAGTAAAAGCATTGTCATTATCTTAGCACGTTTCTCACTTAATGTTTGTGTGTGTTCTAATTTTCACACATATTGACCTTGTGTGTTTTCACTTGAATAAACAAAAATTATTTTCACATGAATGTGAATATCATTAATGGCTTGTGAAAACCAGTAATTTTTCGCTGGTGGCTAAGCTTTTTACTTAACTACAAATTTTGTATGATGGTTCAACACTTAACTTATTTATCTAGAACTATAAATTAATTTGGCCAAAAAACTAGAAACTATTTTGTACCTGTTGTCTATAATGACTTGAATGTTGACAAAAGTAATATAACTAAAGTAACTTTTAAACAGAAATCAAAAGAGAAATTGTTATCAAAGATTTCAGATAAGTAAGCATTGTATTTTGGTATATGTAAGTATGTACTGTATGAAATAGGCATGTATGATAGGTAAATAGGTATGTTGCTAAACATGAATGTGTTCTCCATCAACAAACTGCTTTACAGTTAATAATAATAGCCTTTATTGCTGATGCATTTCTCAAATATTACAATACAATTCAATAATAAAAAATATAAAAATAACCAATCTTAAATTAATAGTAAAAATAATAAACATAAATTTGCAATTAAAATTAATAAGTGCACTGCCCAGTTGCACCAAAACTAATTATGAAAATTTTATATTTGATCAATTTTAAAGGTAATTGAACCTGGGAACTCCTGACATAATACCTGGAGTGTTAAACTGAGTCAATAAAAGTTGCAGAAGAAAAAAATTATAAATCAATTAATTTCCAATAGATTTTGTTTTTATTAACATATTACAGTTTTGTTCTGCAAAAAAATGGGAAAATTTAACATACATATGAATTTAGGAAATGAAACTTTTTGCATATCTAAATCGCACACAAATTTGTTTTTTTTTTAAACAAACTAACATTTCGGGCCCTTTACAGATCCCATGGTCATGGGTGACTGAGATGGTAAGGTCATCAATCATTTATGATTAATGTAAACCACCCTATTTTTCACTATTGTTACAAAAGTTATTATTTAACCACCTTATTATTTTTCTTTTCAAAGATACATTCCAATTTATGCTACATACTTCCTTCACAAATTAATTTTATTTTAACAATATTAATCTTTATTAAATTTAATTTTATAATTATTCCTTAATAATAAAATTAAAATTAATAATAGTAATTACAATATGTCTGCTTGGGGTTTTCCATAAGAGGCAATACTGGATACCAAAGTGGTGATATGGCGAAATCATCTTCCATGTTGAAATTTGGATAATTTTTAACTTCAATGGCTTTCGCAACATCCTGGGTGGATAGCGGACTTCTTTTGCAAGGACTTGGGGTTTTTCGAACTTAATTGAGTGTCTAGGTTTATCCATGACATGACATATTTACTTGATGGTGTTTGACGTCAGCTGTGTGTTCTTTGATGCGGGTACAAATACTTCGCTTTGTTTGTTCAATATAAGAAAGACCGCACTCACAGTCAAGCTTGTAAACTCCTGCATCCTGTAAGGGAAATTTACATTTCACAGATCTCAGGAACTGCGAAATCTCACTCAGGGTCTTGAAATAGGTCTTGATGGACGCATGCCTGAGGACTCTTCTGATCTTGTCTGTAATACCTCTCACATGAGGTAAATGGCCGATTTTCATTCGATTGTTGGTGGTTTTGTGTCCATGGGACCTGTAAAGTGCTCGAAATGTTGGTTTGTTTGAAAAAATTGTTAATATGTGAATTAAATCTGAAAAAATAGTTTCATTTCCTATATGTAACAATTTTCCTAAATAAACATAAGAATTCGTTATACAAATGTTAACTTTTTTGGTTTCCTTCATCTTTTTTAGCGATTGGTAGATATTGAAAATGAAACTATTATTTGTGGGTCTGAATGGTGTGTATTTGATTTTTTTCATACAAACCGTTTCGGGCTTTGGTTTGTTTGAATACAAATAAAACTTACAAATAAAAAAGTAAAAAAAAGTCAGTGTTCCTGGAAGTGCCCCAGAGTGAATTTCGTTGCTCTAGTACTCATAGTGCAGGAAATTCCGTAGTTTGGGACTAGGCAAGTGAGGTAGTTGTGTGACACGTTATCATTATTATTATTATTATTACACGCAATTTCGATCTGAAAAAATTGTTTCATGTCCAAATTGAACAATTTACATATTTTTTAACTATTCTTAAGAACCTATATATACGTATGGATGCGAATTAAAAAAATATTGTGTATTATACCCAAAAGTTTTAAACAAACTTTGTTTGATATCATAAGAATGTTTAAAAGTTACATATTCAGTTGTTTTTGAATATATTTGATTTTTGATTGTCAGTTGTGTCCGTGTGTTCTTAACCATTACATGCTACGGTAGAATATCACCAAGGCTATATATATTTTTAATAATAGTAATAATAAATATTAGACAACATTATATATGTTGCTCTGATCCCAAAGTAAGTAACTAAAGCCTGCGTTATGAAAATCGGAAACAACGGTATCACAAATACCCTGAGACTATATAGAAAAGTTAGTTTTTCTACATTAACCGGTCGGGGATCAAAACCGGGACCTCAGAGTCCGTGAAAGTCGTCAAATGTATGCTTTACAGGCCTTCGTAACTGTCATAAACCCATGTAATGGTTGTTTTATTATGAATTTGTATTTCCATTTTATTTATTGTATAAGGGATAAACCCCACTTATCGACGCGGAATCGGCTTGAGGCGATCATGTTTTAACTACACTTGTCGCATTAAGCCGATTCGCAGACGTGCAGGCGCCGACGCGCCAATTGTCTCTAAACTAGGATCAACCGTCGTCGCATGCGTACGGACGCGATCGACAGTTCGCAGTAAGCAGGCCCTATACTCTTTCTCGTTCTCCGTCCGACATGTTGCAGTAGACGCCTGTGTATCGAGTCGAGTTCGTACGAACCGATGCGAAACGCATAACGTCTCCTTCGCTCTTGCGTTCGTCAATATAAAGATTTTTCTGATCGGCTTAATGCGATTCCGCGTCGATAAGTGTGGTTTATCCCTTACCATGTTATTTATTGTACTACATGTCGATGAGGGAAATGCTGAGACGTGGCCGCTCACAAAGGAATACATGCAAAAAATCAGAGTAGCTCAAAGGGCATGCTCGGCATTTCCCTCGTCGACCGTATACCCGACGTGGAGATACGACAGCGAACAAAAGTCGTAGACTTCCGTATCCGGATCGCGAGCCTAAAATAGAGATGGGCAGGACAAGTTGTTAGGCGGGACAACGACCGATGGGCCAAAGCGGTCATTGAGAGGTATCCGGTAGGAGCGAGACGTCCTCGAGGCAGACCACCTGACCAACGATATCGTCGGATTGGCCAGAAAATTGTCGATGAGAGTCGCACAGGACCGATTGAACTAGCTTGTAAAAGAGGAGGCCTATACCCAGCAGTGGGTGTTAACGAGCTGAGCTGATGATTACATAGTCTAGATGAACAGGGTATATCTTAAAAACATAGATTTTTCAGGAGAACAGTTTTTAAGTTTCTTCTTGCATTTTTCTGCCGCTATTGTTATTTGGTTCTCTTCACCAGTATGCGTTTAAAGCCTTATTCTTACTTCTTATTCAGTGCCGTAGTTTGGATAAAATCCTGAAATTATTCAGAGAGGTCTGTAATATTGCCCTTTTGAAACATAAAATATTTGTGATTCAGAGTTGTAACTAAACTATTCATGCTTAATACTTTTAAATTTAAAGGAGGAATAATTTTCAATTCGATAAAACGTTGCGGAACATAGTAGTAACTCAAAACATTACACTAAAAAAGGTATAAGTATACAAAACCTTGCAATAATAGTTTTCGTCTTAGAAATAAATGTTTCTAAAATACACTTACTTTATAATGAACACATGTTGTGTTTTAGTTTTAATACCGTGCTCAACGAACGACGACGTCCTGACGATTACAGCTTCGTGTGTCGTACTGAATACGACTGTGTTGCTCAATGTTTGGGGCCAAAACGTGCAAAAAATTTAGAGATACTACCGTGTGTCTCGCGCCATTTCGCGTCCGATCGTTACAAGATCTTGTTCATTAGAAAAATCTCGATTTTTTTAATAGGACTGCATTTTTAAGTAAAAAGTCCAATTTTTTAAGTTGGTATCCTGTTCATCCAAGGCAACGATTTGGTTTTCATTTGATGTTACATAGTTTCTGTTTATTATTGAGTCGATTATTAATTGTAAAGGTCAATGAAATGTGAAACCCGATTTTGCAACCAATAATTATTAGACAATTTAAAATTAAAATGGTTATTAAGCATTTCATCACTTGCTCAACCTTGTCAGGGCATTGACACTGTATAACACAAAAAATAGACAGAACATTATAATTATTACATAAACAGAGTAAATGTATTGTGGGCAAAGGCAGCCTTATCGCTAAGAGTGATGTGTCCCAGACAACCTAATTAGAGCGGAATACGTAGTGTGCCAATACCAAAATTTGAATTGTATGAATAAACAAAAACTTACATAAATGTTATTATATATAAATATACCTAAATAAATGTGTACTTACCAGTAAATATATACACGTTGCAGACTAAGTTTCAGAATATATATATCTTTTGACACTGTATTTATGTAATCCAGTTTTGAAAATGGGAAGTGACTCAGTGTCGTATTCCAGAACTCTACTAAATGCTCAAGTCAGGAATTTGAGCAGACTTGAGTATGACATCAAGCACTGGAAATACGACCCTAATGGCAAGTACTTGAGTATGATTTTCAGTG